GAATCAAGCACCCAGACACTCTGGTGAAAAGCCCTCCCAGAACAGAAAGCAGAGTGACCACTAACCTTTGCACCCTCCAACAGGAACAAGAAATTCTTTCACTGTTGACTTTTAAGCCAGGCTCCAGTGCCACTCAAAAGAGTCCTGCTCAGCTTAGGGCAAAATGGCAGGGCATCAAATCATCCCTTTTTGGCTTTTCTTTTCTTATCTACATTTATGTTCCACTTCCCCCGTGCTGGATATTTTATCATTTCTGTTTAATCCTAAAAGCAGTGGCTTCAGGCCAGACGTGGTGGCTCATCCCTATAATCCTAGCACCCTGGAAGGCTGAGGAGAGTGGATTTCATGAGCTCAGGAGTTTGGAACTAGCCTGAACAAGAGGGAGACCCCGTCTCTACCAAAAATAGAAAAATTAGCAGGGCGTTATGGCAGATGCCTATAGTTCTAGCTACTTGCAAGTCTGAGGCAAGAGGATTGTTTAAGCCCAGGAGTTTGAGGCTGCTGTGAGCTATGACTCCAGAACAGTCTAGCCTAGGGGAACAGGCGTGAACACTGCCTCAAAAATAAATAGGCTTCCCCCCAAAATATATAAATATATAAAATCAATAAGCTTGGCACCTGTAGCTCAGTGGCTAGAGGGCTGGCCACATACGCCTTGGCAGGACGGTTCAAACCTGGCCTGGTCTTGCTAAACAACAATGACAACTGCAACAAAAAGTGGCCAGGCATTGTGGTGGGCACCTGTAGTCCCAGTTACTTGAGAGGCTGAGGCAAGAGAATCATTTAATCCCAAGAGTTGGAGGTTGCGGTGATACCACGGCACTCTACCGAGGGCGACATAATGAGACTCTGTCTCAATAAATAAATAAATAAAAGCTGTGACGTCAAATGGAGAGGCAGCTCTGACCCCACCTGCATTTTTCTCACATTGACTAGGACAAAGTCCCCGCTTGACCTTGCTTAGTTATCTCTTGGTCTTAATCACCTACACAGCTTCACTCCATTTTCTTTCATGTTTTATCTGTAAAATCCTCCTTGGCTGCCCAACAGGAAAGGTGGGCCAAGCTCCCAGAGTAGGTTTGAAGGCCAGGCTGGAACTGGTTTGATGGGAGAAAATACAATGGATGTGCTAGGCCTACAGCCTGTGATACCATCAGAAATCCACATCTCTGTACACAAAGGGTAGGGTAGTAGGCAAGACAGACCTGAGTTCAAATTCCAGCTACCAGTTAGGCACAGTAGCTCCTGTCTGTAACCTTAGCTACTAGTGAAGCTGAGGCAGGAGAATCACTTGAGGCCAGGAGTTTGAGGCCAGCCTGGACAATGTAGTGAGATCCCATCTTGGAAAAAAGAAATTCCGGCTACTTCCTAGGTGATTTTGTGTAAGATATTTAGCCTTCTGAACCTCACTTTCTTCATCTATAAAATAGGAAGGACACCACCTGCCTCACAGTGTTGTTGGATTATTTATACAGCATCGTTATCTCTGGGCCTGGAAGATGGAACTCTGGGTATATGTGTCCTCCTGATGCTCAAAGTGTATTGTCATACTAGTGAAGAATTAGAGGTTCCACCCTGACCTGGAGGTGAGTCATAGTGCCACAGGCAGAGCCCACGTTGGGTATAAGGATGATGCTGATGTTCACCAGCTATGGTTAATTCCTCCTCCTCAGCTGGGCAAGGTGGATTATGCCCATCCTAGCACTCTGGGAGGCCAAGGCAAGTGGATCTCTTGAGCTTAGGAATTCGAGACCAGCCTGAACGAGAGCAAGACCCTGTCTGTGCTAAAAATAGAAAAATTGGCCAGGTGTTATGGCAGGTACATGTAGTCCCAACTGCTTGGGAGGCTGAGGCAAGAGGATGGGCTGAGCCCAAGAGTTTGAGGTTGCAATGAACTATGATGATGCCACTGCACTCCACCCAAGGCGACAGAGTAAGACTCTGTCTCACAAAAAAAAAAAAAAGAAAAAAAAAAAAGAAAATTCCTCCTCTTCTCTAAGATTCAACTTAATAGCCTCTAAATGGAAACTTTACCTGTACACCATATGATTATGGCTATGAAAGTAACTTGTTAACTGTAAAATACTGTCAGTTTTATCTCTTTTAAGTGGTATATAATAAAGTCCTCCTGAGACCTTGGGGAAGTCATTAAACATCAGTCAGGGTACCGACAAGAAAGCAAGGGCACATTCAAACAGGATACTTTTATTAGAGTCTAATAGTAGGGCTACTTACAAAGGTGTGTGCACAAAATGGATAATGTAGCATCTAAGGGCTAGGAAGCCTTTGCTACCCCTAGGCCTTGAAAGAGCAAAGGAGAAACAGTTGCTTAAACCAGAGGTGGCAGCTAGACAGAGAAGTTCACCTGACAGGGCCTTCAGAGGAAGGATGTGGATCATCCAGTGTGCCCAGGAGGGAGGGAGTTGAAGAAATAATGCCCTCTGATCTCCCGTAGGTACTTCCCTTCAACCCAACCAAGCTGGAAGCCAGAGGGCAAGGGAAACCATTGATGCTGTCCATATGGGTCAGCCTCCCAGGACACAGGACAGGATGGAAAAGGGTGGAGAGCAGGTCTGGAGGGGCAACTGGCCAGTATCCAGCACCCTGGGCTTTAATGTATTTCACAATTAAAGGAAGGTGTTGAATGAGATGACGTCTGCTTTTATCCTAACCCTCTAATAGATACTCAGTACTTTTTCTAAGCTTCAGATCAGGACCTAAGGTTAGACCCTTGGTGGGAATCCAAGCCCTCTCCTAGGAAGATCTTTAATCTTTCTGATTAATCAAGAACAAGGACATATTTTCCTAGAAACCCCAAGTTTAAATTACCCCCTGTGAGTTCTATACTCAAAGCCGTGGGCAAGCCAGCCACACAGGGGGTAATTCTTTAGAATTGCTATGTTTTAGTATTTATTTTTCTCTTTTAACCAAAGTGAACCAGGTACATGTCTGAAATGCTAAACAGATGTCCTTTGCTTTCATTCATTAGAAAAAACATAATGCAGTATAGAGGTTGCTTTAGGCCTTATCTTTAGAAATAATAAAGTGCGTACAAGAGAATAACCTAGAGCAATCTAATTTCTTCCAGTGCCTTCTAGCTGACAGGCAGTGTGGCTCCCAGGGGAGAAATCAAAGAGCTGAGTAATCTTGGAGAGACAATACTTCCTGAATCCCCTTTTCAACTCTGTCCATCTGGGTGGTTAATATAAATCATGTACCTATAACAGAAAAGAGAAGGCTTCCCGAGAAATCTCAGCACAGTCAGTATGGGACAATAGTTAAAACTGTGGGCTCGGGATGGCGCCTGTGGCCCAGTGGGTAGGGTGCCAGCCCCATATACCAAGGGTGGCGGGTTCAAACCTGGCCCTGGCCAAATTGCAACAAAAAAAATAGCCAGGTGTTGTGGCAAGTGCCTGTAGTCCCAGCTACTTGGGAGGCTGAGGCAAGAGAAT